GGCAAGAAATCAAAAGAAGCAGCAAAAAAAAAAAAGCAACACCAGCAGCCAACAAATGGCACTCAGAGAGCCAGCTAGTGCGGGCTGGTGTTTCTGGACAAGAGACTGTGTCCACGGGAAGCGGAGGGGGCCGAGTATGGGTGAAGAAGGGTAGAGAGTGGGAAAGCGTACATCACAAATTCCCAGAGCTCTGCAACCCCTCAGGAAGAAGCAAAGATGGCGCATGGAGCGAGGCACTCGAGCGAAAGGAGGGGGAGATGGCGAAAGGCAAGGAAGAAATCAAAAGAAGCGGAAAAAAGCAACCCCAGCAGCGAACAAATGTCACCCAGGGAGCCGCCCACTTGGTGTGTGGAATCCAAGCAGCCGGCACTTCCATGTCAAGAGACCGTGGCCACGGGAAGCAGAGGAGGCCGAGCCGGGGCGAAGGGGGTGGGGGGAAGCGCACACTGCAAATTACCAGTTGTTTTGTCTCCCGCTGGATGCTCTGTGAGGCTGCTTTCTTGTACCCCCGTTTGCTGGTCTCCAATAGGAGTTCAAGATGGTGGATCCGCGCTGTGTTAGCTGGTAGGGGACCTCTGCATGAATCTCTCCTCGCTCTCTGTTCTCTGTCAGTTTTGTCACTCCATTTGGTGCTTGGCTGAGTTCTTTATCTCTTCATTTGATGTTTTAGGGTTTCAGGATTGTTGTATTCTCTGTTTGGCTTAGTTTTTCGGATCTTTGCTGTGGAGGGACGGCATGGTGCTTCTGCCTAGACTGCCATTTTGCCGGAACTCCCTTCTTTCTTTATTCTTTTTGGCAATTGCAAACTTCTTAAGAGCACCTACATTCTTATAGAGAATCATGTTGGGAAAGGCAGTCTAGTGGTGATACTTTCTATAATGTTTTCCCCAGAAGAGCATCTGTAACGTGTCACCACTGCAGAGGCCCAGCTCCAGGTCCTCAGAGGTCCCCTGCTTTCTCCAGATGACTCAAGCACAATGCTCTGTGCTTAAATCCCAAGGCCCTCTGTGAGTGGGGAAGACAGGCAAGGTATCCCTCTGGACCTTGGTGATGTCGGGGACCATTTCACTTCCTTTGGGATTTGATGGGGCTGAGACTAAAAAAAGACTCCTTTGAGAACAGTTTACTGGTAAAGTCCCACCCAACAGCCACGTGCAAGTGAAGAAGGGGTATTTCAAAATGGAAAGAAAACCAAACATTTCCCCAGAAGTGTGGGGACAGCTGTATGGGAAACAGCAATAGACAGTGCCAGTCCACAGCGTGGGTCCCTGCGGGCTGAACTCAGTTGGTCCGCTGCAGGAATGGGCCTGGGCAGCCCCAGGGAGACCTGGCCTGGAGTTGCTCCTGAGCATAGGGCTCCAGGCAGAAAGGAGATGTCCTAGCACATGACACAGACCTTGCAGCACCTGGCACCCCGGGACTGAGAACAGCCCTGTGAATGTAATTGAGAACACTGAGGCGTTTGGAGTCCCAGTGAGTCTCCTCCCATGGCTCAGGGCTCTCATCATTCATAGAAAAGACTTGTTCCCAAGTCCCAGAGGAGCTTCTGATAAATCATGCATGTGTTCTCCCTCTCCACACCACTCTGCTCCCAGCCACACACTTGGGCATCTTTACCACCTGTCCTAATGCCACCTCTTGCTGCTGGAGGGGTCCACTAGCCCTTCCACCTGGCACCAAGTCACCAAGACCCTGTCTCTTTTTTCCCTTCAGATAGTGAAAGGCCTGAAATACATGCTTGACATGGAAATTGGCAGAACCACCTGCAAGAAAACCAGCCATGCCAGTCTGGACGACTGTGACTTCCAAACCAACCGCACCTTGACACAGGTAAAACAAAGATGGTCTCTCAGTACTGCATGTCTCTGTGACTGTATATCTCCGAATACACCTGCATGTCTCTGTGACTATGTATCTCCATATACACCTGCATGTCTCTGTGACTATGTATCTCCATATACACCTGCATGTCCCTGAGCTATGTATCTCCATATATACCTGCATGTGTCTATGTATCTCCATATACACCTGCATGTCCCTGTGACTACGTATCTCCATATATATCTGTATAGCTCTGTGACTATGTATCTCCATACATACCTGCATGGCTGTGACTGTATATCTCCAAATACACCTGCATGTCTCTGTGACTATGTATCTCCATATACACCTGCACATCTCTGTGACTATTCATCTCCATATACACCTGCATGGCTGTGGCTATGTATCTCCATATACACCTGCATGTCTCTGTGACTATTCATCTCCATATACACCTGCATGGCTGTGACTATGTATCTCCATAGACACCTGCA